GGCTGTCACCAGGAAAAATCCCCCATGAACTGCGAGTCATGTAAACGGCGCCATGAAAAATGCGATAAATCCTTGCCGCAATGGTATGCCTTCCCACGGAGCCCAGTGCATGGTGCCGAGTCAGTTGACCAGTGCAGTCGAAGTTGCAGCAAGCGCAGCGTCTCCTGCAAATACACAATCACAGCAGAAATCGAGGAAGGGCCTAAGTATTGGCGGCCTATCAGACCGAAACTGAACTACTTGCCGCTAAACAAACTCATTGATCTTATTACCAAGCTCTACGAAAGTCTGGAACAGCGCGGCATGAGAGACTACACAATCTGGGCTCAGAAGCTGCCTCTGTAAGTAATTCTAACCCATATCGAAGCCAGAGCTGATATCATATACAGATTCTATTCTATGGCAGGCTCCGATAACTTAGTAATGAGCTCGCTCCTCACCCTATCCGCATCCTTGTTAGCTACAATCGAGCCGAAGGTGGGAATAAAACAGACATATTTCTACTTTCGTCAGACTGCAGTCGAGCAACTACGAATAGCTTCTAGCAAGCTTTGCAGGGAGAATTATGATAAAGTCCTTGCGGCTACCATGTTACTATTATGGGCAGACAGTGAACGGTATAGAATCTCTTCTTGCCAATACTACGGGTGCTGATAAGTTTAGGTCAAGCTGGATAGCGTTGTGGACTGGTCTGAAATCTGTCTTTTATTCCATGCCGCGGGAATGGAGGTACGAGTCCGAGCTGGCAAAGTTCCTCGAGACTGAACAATACCTTCAAACCTTGGACTCGTCTTCTATCGTGAGCTGCCAGTTCAATAATAAGAATCTATCCGGTCTTGCCGATACAATTACAGTCCTGCGGCATATCCAGAGACAACTTGTGCATACTAAAAAGCACTACAATCAGGTGAACAAACTGGTGGATTTTCTGGATAGATTCCTTGGTGATATTGGTTCTCTTTCGCCAGATCAGGCTTTCCAGCGCGTGCACATTCTGCGACAGTGGCTCTTTTGGCTTCCTCCAGTCATGCTGCGAGATGGCGTTGACGACAACCTCGGTCTAGCGGTTCTAGCACAATTTTTTGCTGTGGGACTCAACCTGTACTGCTTATTTCCAGAGCTAGGATGCCATGATCTTGGGCCATTGGCTGTGGGCCCTATTAAAGAAATTGACCGTACTGTCCGTGCGCGCAACATGGCGAAGCCTCACGACCCGGACGTACAACTGGCCATGTACCTCATGGGCATGCCCCAAAGTATCGCCACCAAGTATCAGGATCGCCTTATCGCCGACGAAAGTGCTGTGGGACTATAAGAGCGCCGTGATTATGTTATGTATCTGGGTCCTCTTTAGCGCAGTTGGAGCACCTGTGTTTCTGTTAGCCGTCGTGGCGAGGAAAGCTTACCACATCGCATGGACTGAACATGGGGAAGTACTAAGTCATCATTCTGGTGTGTGCTCGTACGTTCAGTTGGCTGATACAGGAGTCTAAAAGGAGGGGCTAAGTGGCAAATTGCAAGCAAATATATTATAGTTTCATCAAGTAATGGACATCTCAATGGCTTTCGGTTCCCATATATATCAATTTGCGTGTGCGAAAAATTTCCGCCTTCGGCAGCGAACAGTCAATAGAAGCCTTCCACGGAGTTCGTTGGTCTTTCGATTTTTTCCGGTATGCTGGTTTCAAAGAATTTGAGTTGAGATACGTTTTTCGTTTCATTAGCTGCCCGCGTTCGGATTTTGGATCTATTCAAACTCCGTCCCAGCCACTCTAGAAGACCGTGGCTAGGCGGGAACTGCATCTTTTGCCTGTTAGCAGCTTCACAGTTAGCTACGCTCAGGAACGTCTTCCTGTCTTCAATATAGCATTGCCCTGAGGACTTGACTCCGCTCAAGCCTGTCTCCGCAGGATTCCTCAAATCCTCACTTGACCTCTGTATGCCCAGTGACCTTAGTGCTCCGCCTGACCCGTTTTCATGTTGAATGGCTCTGAGTTGGCCAAGGAGCCGAGTTAGTATCATCAATCTGGCTGCTCGGTTACAAGCTTAGGGGCGTTAAGGATTTTCATTGGTCGCCCTGTTCAAGCCCGCAAAAGTATTCGCGCCCGACCCTTTGAGCATACGCTTAGACAATGGCCAGCCGTGAACGAGTCCATTCAGCAAACTAACGTCAAGCGGGTGGGTCTTATTCGAGATGTTGGGGTCTGCTAAATGATTCCCCATAAGCAGCTTGAGGGTCGCTGCGGTGTAACCAAAATTATATTCCAGGCGTGCTCTGCTTCCGGGACCCGCAACGCTGTGCTCCGGGCGCTCACCAAGTCCTCGTCTCATTATGCAACGCGAGGCTTAGAGTCCCAAGACAGACAGGGATGAGTTGTCCCTGTAAGTTTCCAAGCCGGTGATAATTGCCCACTTCCGCTTGAAGGTGATGCTGTTTCTCCACAGTCGTAGCTTTCGTCATCACAGTGTATCCGCGGGAAAGAAGAGTGGCCTTTATAAGATACCCTGTCCGACCACACTCGTGCAGCTGTTCGAATCCAGGATCTCGATCTCGCGCAAGCTGACGATGGAGCTGGCGTGTAAACTCCTGCGGTCCGATGGAGTGTCTCTGACCACCGTAGAGTTTCCAGTTGGAGCCTTATTTTTTTTTACCCAGAGGTTCTCGGTTGACCAAGTCGCGGATGCACGTAATGGTGCAATATGGTCGCGTAGAATGTCCGTCTTTGCGAGAAGTCCATGCATGGTTTCGGTCGGCTCGGGTCCTTTCGCTTCCACTAGTTGATTGGCAGTTATTGCCTAGGCCGCCGCTCGATCGGCTGCGCGACGCCGCTGCTGCAAATGGCGAATGTGATTTTTGATCACTGCCGCTGCCTTAAGCGGATGTGTACTTCGATGTAGATGCGCCTGGTTGACAAGGAGCGCAAGCGTCAAGGCCCGTGGTACTAGTGCCGCAGTGACTTTCCCTGCAGTTCGCCGGACCGCAGCGGAAGAAATCGAGTAACCCCTCAGGGCCACTGCGGAATGTACGCAATGATGACCCACCATTTTAGGTCGGAAGGCCAATCAACATTTACTTCTGGTACTTGGCAGGGACGACTGCGATTCAGCTGGAAGTCGCTTCGTACCCATTGGACATTCGCATCACTAGGCCCGCAAGCAGGAGACCCACTCGTTAGCACCGCTGTGATAAGTGCAATATGAGTCATGAACAAAGGTAGACGTTCTTGCTGAGGTGTTCTTTGTCTAGTCTCGAGGACAGATGCAGCAACCACCTCTCATACTGTAGGCTCCTATTCCCATTGTTCTATGATCGTATTGGCTATGGATCAAGCCTTCTAGAAGGCCTGCGTTTTGAAGAGGCGTCTCTCATGACTCTATGCTTCTTATTTCTATTTAGGTTTCAGAACAATCCTCACGTGACTATTTTCCTCACAAGAGGATTTTCATGAGAGCCATTCCATCCTGAAAATCAATCTCCTTCTGGCCTGATACTTCCATGTCCCATAATAACTTATAATCTTTCACATATCAACTTATTTCCATAAGTTGCTGCTTGAGTATCGCTACATGAAATAATCCATATGTGTCGTAGGGCAACATAAAAGGCTTTTCTTGTACGGCTAGCCGCTCGGAGACGTCATTCTCGAACCAATCCAGCTCATATGTATACAAAAGTCTTAGAAAGAGCCACATATGTCTAAGCCAGTCCTGAGAATGCTCTCACATTCCCCCGAGCGACATAGAACAGTGAAATTTACCATATTGGGCGATTTCGGCTCGGTTTCGGCTCGATCCAGGACCCGGGAGACCAAAGTCCTTGGGGAAAAAGACATCTTGACAGACCACTGAGATTAAGAGCGTGAATCCTGAGCGAGTCTGCAGACGCCAGAGTGTCCAGCTAAGGGAGTCCAGATGCTGTCACGGCTAATATGTTTTGCGCAAATCGAAATAGTTATCTTGGTTGTTTTAGCGAAATGTGAAAATGTAACTTCGTGCAGATATGTATTCACAGGTTGGCGCTGAGTAAATGCTTGAACATTTAGGGACTCATCTACCTGGGCGAAATATCTTGTACACCTAGGTTTTGTGGGTCAAGCTGCAAGGTCTGAGCAGCACAGCCCAGTCATTGTGGCCTAAGGCAGTGGGTCTAGACAGCTCTTGGATCTAGACAGCTCTTGGATCTAGACGGCTCTTGGATCTAGACGGCTCTTGGATCTAGACGGCTCTTGGATCTAGGCGCGTGGACCTAGGTCCCCAAGACGCCCAGGGCCAAGCACCTGAGCCCCTAAAATACTCAAGTATGCGCTTGGTGCCGGCCCGCACGTACAGATCTGCCCAACGCGTAGAAAATCTTCTCTGACTACTGGTTTTGTGAAGGCCCATACGGTAGACCAGGGACTCCATTTAATGAATGTTAGATCTCGCTAAAGACATTGACAGCTATTCATTCTACAATTTATTGCCGGACGATTATTGGCAACCGATAATAATTGGTCTCCTGTTCTCGCTGCCTTGACTTCATGGGCTGCGGTCGAGTCGTCCTCATCAGTAGGAGGATTAGAGTCAAAATCCTTGGCTGTTATCTGAATCTTGCGTTGGCCTGTCTGGGCCGCTAGGTCTTAGCTCGAACAATTCATCGTAGAATCGGGTCAAGAGAGCTGCCAACCTTCAAGTTCGTAAGGAACGGAAGAAGCAGTTTTAGTTGCGGACATTAGTGGGGAAGTCATTCGGGAGAGGCACCGGGTTAGATGGGAGCGATGTTCTTCTAACAGGTGAGTAGGTTGCCTCACACGGAGGGAAGTTCCCTTGCGTGGGGTCAAGCTACCTTGGGCACGGGAAGTTCCCTCCGATGGGCGAAGAGTCCCAGCGCATACGCATGAGGCGGGCGCATTAGCGCTTACAGAAAATGAGTCCTGGCTTTGCTGTCGTGCACGCGCCCTTAGGCCCTGTTGCACGTATCACTCCGTAGGATTTGAGACCAAGCCGATTCGTCACCGCCTGTGGCGGTGGCGTAGTGGTAAGCGCTCCGAGGTAACTTCCAAAAGATGCGGGATTGGTCACCTTGCTATTTGGAGGTGGTGGGTTCGATTCCCATCGCCGGCACGACATTTACCACAACAATGAACTTCGTTGCCACAATAGTACCTAACCCTTCCCCTTATGGCAGGGTGGCGAGGAAGAGAAACAGTCACAGGCCTTGGTAAGGCTCCAGATTTGTCAGGAAAGAAATAGCTTACAGCAAAGACGTGTATCGAGAGAGATCGCTATACAGTGAATACCTGCATTCGCCCAAGGAGTTGGATTCTAAACCATAAACCACTAGGCTAGGTGCGAATTCGTATTTTAGTCTAGTGGGGAAACCAACACAAGGCGGATGGGTCAGCGTATGAATATACTACGTACTTATCTGTGGCTCCGCCGTCGCCAATATTGTGGCCTTCGGCCCAAAACTGTGTCTTTTAACGTACTGAGATTTAGAGGCTCTCTGCATTTCTTTTGCCGATGACAATCTGGCAGACTGTTCATAAGGACTTCAAGTTATGAAGGCAGCTACTGTATAAACAATGATCCTGCATTTACTTGAGAATTTTTCCATTAATCACATTACTGCCAGTCTATATTATTCATTCACGCGCAGGCGTGCAATTCCTCTCACCTTCATTATTAGACAATACAAAGTCGTTTACGCTTGTGCAGTTCTCTACACGGATGCCTCCCGGGTGGCTTCACCCGCCTTTTCATAGGTCGGTGATTCAGTTTCGAGCAATGAAAGTCAATGATCAGGGCCCGTCCCAGCTCGGCGTTCCACAGAATATTGTCCGACCGGAGGTCCTGGTGTGAGACTCCCAAGGAACAGATCTCCTTCTCAGACCTCGCAATCTCACGTGTGATCGTAGTGTCACGCTCTATCTTATGTATGGGCTCACCCCCCCAGGCCATGATGAGCATGTGGCAGATCTCGCCAGCTCCATGTACGAAGTAGGATTTGGCCAAATCGATTGCCCCCAGAAAAACAGGAACAGCAGAAGCCTGTGCTTGGTCGAGTACACGGTATACGACTTCCTCACGTTTGACCTCCTCCCACCGTCGGGGAGTTGTTCCTTTACCGACCATAGTATATCCATATGCCGTATATGTGACTTTAAATGGGACTCCCGATGCGCCACAACCCCCCATTGGTGTACAGTCTCGGTCGATATTTTCATCTAGTTGCTGTTTGAGTTGCTTGATCAGTGTTTTGGCATTGATGGGGTGTTGGCTGCTGTCCCCCCCCTGTCGGTGGAGCATGACGTTTGGACAATTAACATCCAGCTGACCACCTCGTTGCAGGCTACGTAGACATTTCTGGGTGCAAAACTGTGCAGTGTGCTGCTGACCTTGGCTGCCGATCGGGGTATATTGATCTCCCGCCAGATGTGCTGATCGTTGAGCAGATGGAGACGAAGGAGAGGATGCAACCTGACTGAAGCCACGCTTCCTTCCTCCTGGAGCTTGATCTGCGTCAGAGTCAGAATCATGACGTGGTGTCAGATTCGGCGACGCGCAGCTAGCTCGAGACCGGGTGGATATTCGACGGGTGTCGGCAGGGGGTGGAGCAGGAGACGAAGACGGTATATATTCTGATGTAGTAGGTTCGGAGCTCGTATACTCCGATGCTGCATATTGGGAATCGGGCGGGTTTTGTTGCAATTCCGATTCTGGGATCTGGGAACGTGTATGATCGAAACTTGTCTTCCATTTTGGCAGCTTCTTTGTGGCATTCCGCCACTCCTGGTCACGATATTGTGAGCGGAAACTCATGAGGCATAAACACAAGACCCGAGCAACAGCTGTTAGCGGCTGTTGTAAAGAACCCAGTTCATCATCCGGGTTAACTTCCATGTTGGGTTCACAGAGATGATAGTATAAGGTGCCCGGATTATCATAGGGGACCCGCAGCAAAACCAATGCGAATCCATTAGTCAGATATGAGTACTCGAGCCCTTCCTGGAGCATGACATGATACTCCTGAACCACAGCCGAGCCGGTTAGCCAGGCCGCATTATATCTCAGTTTCTCGGGCCCCTCCGTGGGAACGGAGTCCGGTCTGACCACTTCATCCCAGAACTGCATCGGTCGCAAACCCGCTCGAAGATTCTCCACGGATAGTTTATGGGGCGGCTTGTACTCAACTGTCATAATAGTTGTATTTTTATCACCGTCGACCCGGTGGATACAATATTGATCCGGTCGGGAATTCGCCGATTTATCTGTTTTAGACTGGTCGGCGTCAACCGCATCGAGGGCATTTGCGTGGTTATCGAACTGAATTCCATTGCCTAACTGAAATTCCTCTCGAGCAGCACGTATCCTGCAGAGTTCCGCGATAATATCACGGACATGGTTCTCCACCCCGAATCTTTCATAGCTTTGCAGATCCTGCTCACTGCTTATAGCTCTCTTCTTGAACTCTTCCCCAAACCCCTTTAGGACAGTACGCGACGGAAACACTTGTGCAGCAGGTTGTCCAGGCGGTGCTAAATAAGTACAAACGGAGTGATAGATCTCTTGCTGTATGGCTGTGCACTCGGTCCAAGGCAGAAGTTGCAGCGGACAGCGCTTCCCCTTTGGCGCCGGAACCGTTCCCGTCGTAGAACGGGACGGACTTTCGACTCTCAGGCATAGAGAAGTATAGTTGTGACAGTATCGAATTAGCTCTGCAAAGGTGGTTTGTCGTGTTTGCTCTCTTTCCTGGTCCCTTTCCTGCTCTGCTTGCTGCTGATGTTCCTCAGCTTGTCGTTGGCGTTCCTCAGCTTGTCGTTCGCGTTCCTCAGCTTGTTTCCTAAGCTCTGCTTCCCGCTGGCGTTCCTCCTCTGCCCTCAAATAGAGCGCTTGGTAGTCGGGTGGGCTGCTGTTTTCCATTTGCTTGATGGGGGTTATCAAAAAGTGTTCATTCGGTTGACGCTCAACTAGGCGGGCATGCGGAGAGGTCGCTTGGCCTCGGTCGGTCCCGGTCTTATTTTTTGCCGTTCCAGCCAATCATAATTGGTGGCTGTGCGAAACCCTGGCCTCAAGTAGCCACAGGGACAGGAACGAAAAACGGCGGATTCAACAACGATTATTCAAGAATTAATTTCAAAAGATAAATTGGGAGGCGAAGGCGTTATGCCTCCAGAATGCGGAGAGGGAGGTGAGTACGGGCGTGGGGCGGATCCCGGAGACGCGTCAAACACGGGAGTGGAAATACCGGGCGCACCGTCAACGACTCGGCACTCGACACGAACAGTGACAAGACCAATTCATTATGGTCAAGACCAGGAAAGAGAAGCAGCCGAGAGAACCTCCAGGAAAAACTCCAAAACCGGGAAAGCAAAGGAATTGGACCCGGGAAGCGTACAGGATTTGCTACGCGGATTGTGGGAAGCCAACAACGCGCTCCAACAACAGGTAACGAAGCTCCAGATCCACCTTGAGCGACGTGACGAGGAGTTCCAGAAACGTGAAATCGAACATCAAAAGGCGATTATAACCCTTCAGCTACATCTCAAGGAAGTCCAACAAGAAATACGAACAACCCGACAGGAGACACGAGAGCTCAAGGCTTCGATCATCAGTACTCAACAGGAATATACCCAAGAAACCAAGCAAGAGGTCACGACGCTGCGGAAAGAGATCGCTGAACTGTCTAGTGCAGTTCGGTCCCGCAATGGAATCACCTCGCACCCCACAACAGAAGGAACTGAATCCACAGGAAGAAGCTGGGCCTCGGTGGTGACGCCAACATCGAACTCATCAACAGCTCGAAGCACCCACGTGGGCCTAACCCTACCTATGGTCCGAATCGACACCCACCAAGCCTCGCCCCAAATCAAAGACATCCTCCAAGACCCAACCCGACTGCAACAAACAATCAGTACACATCTACGAGCACACGACCAAACTAAGAACATCCAGATCGAAGGAATCAAATTAGCACCAAGGAACCTTGTTAAAATCTTTACAGATAAAGACGAAAGTTCAGCGCTCCTTCGAGAACACCAGGAATGGCTTCAGGCCCTCCCCGGCGTGAGGTTGTGTGGCGAACCCTGGTTCCCAGTGAAACTGGATGAAGTGAGGAAAGCCGATGTATATGACAGCGTGGGCAAAGAGAACCCGACATTCAGGACTCAGTTCGCAGAGGAAAACAACGATACACAAATCAGAATGATTCGGTGGCTCAGTGGCCCCAAATCGTACGGATCGATGGTAATTTACGTGACCAAAGAAACCGATGCCCTTCGACTACTAGAACGAAAAATCACACACATCCGAGGTGAAGCAGTTTTCACAGATGCCTACCGGTACCAGGAGCGACCCATTCGATGCCGAAAGTGCCAAGTATATGGGCATAAAGCGGCGCGTTGTCCAAACCATGCAGTATGTGCGCGTTGTGCAGAACACCACATGACGGCAGATTGCGAAGCAACCAACACACGATGTGCAGCATGCCGGACGGACGGGCATACTGCAGATGACCGCAACTGTGAGACGTGGAAGAGAATGAAGATGACGACTCAGAGTCAGCGGCCACCCCCCAGAGCCAACTAATGGGACCATGCACAGAAACGACACACAGGCCCCTCCGTATCCTTCAAGCCAACTTAAGGAAAATGCCAGAAACGCAATTGAGCCTGCTGAACGACACATCCTTGAAACACTACTATCTCCTACTAATTTCCGAACCTTCCACCATGCTCATCGAAGGAAAATTAACGATCCACACACATCAAAAGTGGACTGCAATCCTCCCAACGGTGGGCGAGGATGAAATCAAGAAACCAGGAATGTGCAAAAGCATGATCTGGGTGAACCGAGATCATCCCGCCTCCCAACAAATCGATATACAATCCACGGATATCACAGCGGTCATTATACGCCCTGGCCATCGGAAAATACTGGTCATATCGGTGTATGTACCACCAAGGACAGATGAACAACATTTAGAAATCCTCAAAGATCGGCTAGATATGATTAACTCGGTGATTTTAGCGCAGAAGAATCAGCATGGACCGCAGCTCGAGATACTCGTGGCTGGGGACTTTAACCGCCATCACCACCTGTGGGGCGGAAATCATGTCTTTGCCCG